GGGGGGGGCGTCTGCAGGTTTACTTTCCTGGCGGCCCCCGTGGCGGCGCGTCAGTCGTGATGAAGGCAGACAGCTGACAGGTGCTCCAAGGATGACGCCGACGCCACCACCAAGCACACCTGCTAAACTTAACTCTGGGGGAGAGCGAAGAGAAGGAAAAACAGCGAGTGTGGGAGCTGCAAGAGGGGGCAAAAAAAAAAAAAAAAAGATAAGAAGGCTAAGCGTAAAAGTGAGCAGTCAAGAGTTGGAATGACGGCTGAATACTTGGCTGACTTCTTCCCTCCACTTTGCTTTGCCAGTGTTAGGCTAGCATCTTTTTCCACCAATGATAAAGACCTGGACATAACAAATTTAAGATATGAAATGACTGTGATAATATTTCTGAGGAGTGATACCAAAATTTTGACTTTGATACTATAGCTGCATAAAGTATCTTGATACCGGTACTGAGATGATACCATGGCAAAAAGATAAGCACAAAAGAATGTTTTGAAAAAGTGAAATAATAGCTCACACCTAATAAAAACCTCTTACTTTCCATGAATTCAAACGATTAATATCAGATTTTGTTGATCGAGTTAAAATACTTTTTTTTTACGATTTTTGTGAAGAAAAAAACTTTTGAAATGTTTAAACATTACTTAAGATTTTAATTTTATCCAATACTGTAAAAAAGTCTCAAGGCACAAAAAAAATGTTTGGTATATATATTTATATTCGACCAACATAAAATCTCATTGAATTATGGGTCAACAATAACTTCTTTTCCACCAATACCGATAATTGTCTGCTTCTACAATCCAATCCAATAGCTGTTTTTTTTTGTATACAGTACTACATGAAAAACATGTAATAATGCAATGTAATATATATTAGCTCCTGAATGGCGTAATGTAAAAAAAGTTAACGTCACTTAATATTTGAAAACTATGACCGATCGTCACCAAAATTCACGTGAGCATCTTTTCATGACTTGGGTTACCAAATCAGGTGATTATGCCTTCAAATATGTCAGTCTTTCCCCTTGATTTCTAACAAAACCTGGCACTCTTGAACAAAAGCGAACTGTTGTACAAATGGCCGAGTCAAGAACAGAAACGACACAATTGCCTCATGCATAATTGGCCAAACTGGCTGGTAAGTTTTTTATGAGCACCCGCTCAAATGAAATTGAACCTTCCTTTCTTTGCGGGTTTGGCAGGTGTTCATTTATAACCCCTTGTTCACCCATAGTTTACGTACCTACACCAGGACACTGTCACACTTAAATATATGTGGACATCGCTACTTCTGCTCACTTCAAAATGTGAAGTTCAATCTATTAAAATAGAATGCATAACGAAGCAGAGATGTCTGGGTAAATTTGGGTGAAGATTGCAGTATTTTGGGGCATTAGGCCATGTTAAACTGTTTGACGTTAAACTCTTTAGACCGTCCTCACACAACCACAATGTTAGTAACAAAATTGACTCATGTCAATGGAGGTATGAGGATGCAAATCTTTTAAGTTTTCCTTGCTCCTCGTCGCGCTGGAGGAGGTTTCATAAAACCAGCCTACATGCCACGTGCTGTAAAAACTGTAAAATGATGCAATTTTTCAAAACTGGGGGTGGAGGGGGGGGGTCCCTATTTTTGGGAGGGCTCGGCCCTTAACCTAAAACAGCCTACCGTGAACTCTTGAAAATCTTGCAATAAATTAAAAATATTTCTAATTGCCTAGAAGCCGTAAAACAGTGACAAAGCAATATTTTTAGAATGAGACACGTCTTTGGCCCGAGCACAAAAACAGAACTGTGAGATTTACATCAAATAACGAAGGATTGGTTCCACTTCAAAAATCAGCAAATAGGGCAAATTGTGAATAGTTCACTTTACTGTCACTGAAAGTTGTTTTTTAAGTGCACGGTGTGGATTGCCATTTCCTTTAGTCACTTGCTCGACTTTTGGCCAAAGGTGAGTGAGCAATTGCAAAAATAAGGACCAAAAAAAAACAAAAACAAAAAAAACATTCACGCTTTCCTTATGTGCAGCACTCATGATACACTCACGGCATCTGTGCAAATGTAGAGACGGTGCTGACACTGTAGTCTGGAAGCACCCATTTGAGCCCCCCTTGAACTCTTCAGACTGGGCGGGTCTCTTCGTTCAGCTGTGTATCACATGACGGTCCTGAGTTGTTGTAGACGCTGCGTGTGTGTGTTTTTCGCGTTGACACACGTATGCAAATGACGCCGGTATGAACGGCAGAGAGCCGCATGTGGCAGCTAGCGGCTGGCTGGCTGGTAGCGCTGTCACCAATTTGTTCCTCGCCATAGGGGACATGCAGGGGATGGAGAGGTGATGGCAGCTCCCTGTCCTCCTCGTGGCTAATGAGGCCTACACTTCCTCTTCTTCTCTTGTGTGTGTGTGTGTGTGTGTGTGTGTGTGTGTGTGTGTGTGTTCAGTTTGTATCCATTTGTGTCACAGAGCTGCCATGGGTCTACTTTCCCAGGAACACGAGTTGATGTCTGGGCACACACACAAAATTGTGCACTTATTTCCGCCTTATAACTTTTTCCTCACTGAATTATTTACACACAGACACACACTCATTCACACATTCAGATAACAAGTCATTGCACCAGCTCAGGTGACCCATCAAATCTTGAAGGTGGATGAACTGGATAAAATACAAATTACATTTTTTCTTTCTTTTTTTACCCGTGAAAATAAGAACCACAACAATAAGGCTGATTGTAAGTAATTTTATTTCAACATATAGTACTTAAGCTTTCATAAGGTCAAGGCAACTATGAAAAAGTGGTAAACGCCCTTTTAAACATTCTGTGCATGGTCGGGCTGGGCGATATGGCTGGAAAATGTTTCACAATAGTAAGTAGTTACAAATATTTCATATCAGTGAATATTTATCTTTTTTTTACCTATTTAAAAGAAAAACAATTAACTTTTTTTGTGTACATTGAAATGTAGTGCCAAGTACAAGATTGCTTCTCCAACAGTGCATTGTAAATGCTTATTCGGCACTAGCACATCAAAGTCTTGGAACTCAAGTCATTTACTTGTCCACCACGAAACCCGAAGGTGTTTATTGGGGCTAGTAGGCACAATATCATCTTATTGCAAGCATAGTACTGAGTCGACTGGTCATGTATTTGACTTAAGTTACGCCACACTCTCGTTTCGCGTGAGGAACTGTACAACTTCTTCGTTGGTTTAACTGCTGTTGCATCGTGTTTGGAGTCGGCTACGTGCTGCCTATAACACGCACAATGCTGGAGTCGGGGTTTCCTTCCTGATTTTCTACTGAATATTTTATCGAAGGCATTTCTATTGATGTCAATCACTTGTCTATCGCGATACATATTGATATTGAATTGTTGCGCAGGCCTTAGAGAATACATTGCAACAGCAGATGAAATACAGTGATTTAATCCTTCTATAACATGGTGTGTGTCAAATTGAAAAGTAACATATACTCACCCCCGCATGTGGTGTATTGCACCAGTGAGTAAAGGAATCCTCTAGTTTTGTTGCCTTTCAGATTGACCATCAAAATTTAAAGAAATGCAATTTTCACCACCCTGAGGGATCCTGTCAGGGTCAAACTGACCTACTTTAAAAGTTAAAAATCTCAGAAAACATGTATAACATGCAACCAAAAAAATGCCCTAGGTTAAAAGAGAAAAGAAAAGGTCCGCTGGCCTTGTTTTCATAAATTTTTAAATGACTAAACATGCTGTGGTGTGGGTCACTTGGGCATTGGATATTTTTTAAATATTTTAAAAACCAAAACAAATATTTAAAAAAAAGACAAAACTTATGTTATTCGTTTCAATGTCGTTTTTCAAACTCATTTTTATTTCATTTTTTACATTTCACTGGGTCTCGTTGACCCATTTTCAGTATATTTTTGGCGAGCGGCAAATGAGTCTTCAGTGTTTCATTTCATTAGTAAGTTGCTAAATTTGTGTTGAGAATGGCTTCAATTGCATTTGTAGCTCAGGAGTCCCATCTTGTGGTTGAAAATACGAAGTGCAAGCATAAAAATTCATTGGGTAACACTGTTCAATCGTTCCGTCAAGTCTTGTTCAGTTACTCCCTGTGTGGAACTGCTCGTCTGTTACCCAAGAAGAAGGCCTTGACTCAAGAGTGGGGCTGCTTAGTTGAATTCAAAGCGATATTGAAATGCAGTTTTAGCAAAGTTTGCAATTTTGGAAGGAAAAAAATAAGATTCATTTTGGTTGACAGTTGCTTAAGTGTGTGTGTGCGTGCGTGTGTGGCTTTCTTTTTACCAAATAATTGAAACTCGTTAAACTTCTATTTGAAGTTACGTGGTTTGGACGGTAACGTGTCCGTCGCACCCTTAGCTCTCGATACTATTTGATGACACCGTTTAACCTAAATTTGTTTTATCAGGCAAAGCAGACTTGTTTCGGAGTATCTTTTGGCTTGCCTCTCCCTCCAAACAAGCTATGATGAGCACAACCCCGCCGCTCTGTCTGCGTGTAAAGGAGAGCTGTGCTCAGCGGAGACGGGTCTGTGGGTGTTTGCGTGTCACGCTAACGACATCGCTAAAATATATATATATATTTTTTTTTTTTTTTAAAGCGTCATAGAAAAGTAAGATACTACTGTTCTGTTTAGCAAGATATTCGCAAATTTGGATTTATTTTGTAGACTTGTGACATTTAAGTGTTCGGAAATAACCGATCTTTTTCACCCGATACCGGATGAGCTAAAAAATCAAATGATCGGATCGGCACATCTCTATTATTCTTTTTTTTTGCCAATGTCGAGGCTTTATTCCAGCTTACTGGTGTAACAGTGAAGTGTGCTGAGAGCAGCACACCCCAAAATGACCTCAAAGCTGCAAAAACAGATAATTCTGTGGACTCATCACAACTGGTGAGCCTCCTCAGCCGCTTGGATGCACAGTTCCCCCATTCATTCGTTGATATGATACCATATTAGGCTTCAAGTGAACAGTAGGGTGGATGATGTCATTGGTCAGAAAATGTATGATTTATTGTGCAGCTTTATGCAAGCAAATCAAATATAAATACGGTACGCTCATTCATAACATGCAGGGGAGAAAGAAAATGGGATCAGTCAAGAAAAGGACTATTGAGTGAAATAAGAAGTCATTTTTCAAATAAGTATGTGAGGAAACAGGAAAGTTAAAAAAGGCGAAGATTTTATGAGCCAGGAAATCCAGACTCAATGCTCTAAGATTTTATGGTGAAGTTTATTTAAAAGAAAGATTTGTTTAATTCCCATAATTTAAAAAAAAAGGAAGGAAAAGTGTATTTTCCTCAGAGAGTATCTTCTTTTTTTCTTTTTACAAGAATAAATTGGATACAAAGTCTCTAGCATGCAGGGGGAGATGTAACAAGAGTCAAGAAAATGAATGGGAAGGTCTTGTGTCATTACAGGAAGCGTTTGACGTCACGGATTTGGGGGAAAAAAAAAAACAAAGAAAGCACAAGTAAAAACTCCCTGATAGCAAATAGCATTTGTCATGTATTTTCTTTTCCTTCACTCTAGTTGCTGTAAGCTCGGGTCACAGCAGTCAAAAAAGTTCCAAGGGTCTCCCCCATTGCCCAAAGCACAATGGCAGCCAACAGTCACATGACACTGATTAGGGCGCAGACTTGGGCGGCTTGAAGAGTCCCGTCCTTCGGAAGTGCCGCACGATGAACGGCACAGACACCAGCGTGATGCTGATGCGCACGGGCGCAAATAGTTTGTGAACGGCGTAGGCCAGGACGAACGTGCTGGTCCCCGCCGCCATCTTGGAGCGGATGACGGCCTCGCTGAAGCCCAGCTTGCTTAGCACGGACGCCATGTCGATACCGCTAGAGAGATGAAGGCACACAGCTGATTACAGTTCTGCCACATTTGAACCCTACCATGTTCAAAGACATCAGCCATCTATGTAAGAGGGGAACTCAGGTTATTTTTTTTCGGAAAATGTGGAAATTATTTTCAAAACGTATTTTTAAGTGATTTTTTTTTTCTGTTCTATTGAAAGCAGATGTCACCGACCGGTATTTCAAACGTCAGATGTTGGCATGCATCTAACTTTTTAAAAGTTGTATTTTGTGTATTTTTCAACCACGTGATTTAAACAGATGTATTGTTAAGGGGAAAGGGTGATTTTATGTTTTTGATCTTCATCAAACCCTCCCCCCACCCCAAAATAAAAATGATGGAGAAAGGTGAATTTTCCCTAGAGAAAAGTTTTCATATACAGTCATTTTTTTCCCCTCTGTATCGATGAAAGCAATTGTAATCATACCTCACACAAAATGTCAATAGGCATCTATCTATGTGATTGTAGGATGCTGCATTGTTGTAAAAGAGGATGTCTTTTCCTTTTTAAGTTTTATTTTCAAACTGGTCGTCACGGTATTCGACTGCTTAGCACGTCCGCCCGCCTCGAGTGCAGAGGTGCAGGGTTCAATTCCGGCTGCGGCCTTCCTGTGCAGAGTTTGCATGTATCTCCTTGTGCAAGCGTGGGTTTTCTCCGGGTACTCCAGCTTCCTTCCACATTCCAAAAACATGCATGGCAGGTTAATGGAGCACTCCAAATTGTCCCTCGGTGTGATTGTGAGAGTGAATGGTCGTTCGTCTATGTGTGCCCTGCGATTGGCTGGCAACCGGTTCAAGGTGTCCCCCACCTACTGCCTGAAGACAGATTGGATAGACTCCAGCACGCCTGCGACCCTTGTGAGGATAAGCGGATTGGAAAATGGATGGATGGATGGATATTTACAAACCAGATGTTGCTGTCAATCAAGTTGTTTTCTTTATAGCATAAGGCGCCGATGCATTGAATCCTGTATCAAAAGTGCAGTTGCGGCAATATCCTGTTTCAGTGTGTTGTTAAAGGCAGAGCAGTTCAGTTGTGATCATTTGCGGAATCTCTCCGAGAAACGGGCGAGTGACTGTTAACTGTTATCAAGCTGGCTGCATGGGCCTGCTTTAATCAGCCAAGTACAAGGCAGCAAAGTGTTCAACGTGATAATGCGACATGGTTGCGGGTGACACTGCCTTTTCCTTGGGAGGCTTATTATCAGCTGTGTGAGAAAGGCCGCGGGCTTCCCTGCTAATCTCCTGCAAATCTCTTTGCTATGCTAGCTGTTTGCACGCCGTCAGTCAGTCTACACATGCTGAAAGGCTCGACTGTTTTGTTATTCAATTAAAAGATGTCCGTAGAAAGATTTTAGGTTCTCTGTGTTTCCTCTTGGTTCCAAAACAAAGTTGTTTGATGATATTCTGTCCTGTGTGAGAACTACAGGTTGAGAACATTTTTCCATTTCCCACCGAACTTCATACTTTGTGCTGTCATATGCTGCATGAATAAACTCAGTGCATCCTTGCAGCAAGTAAACTACCCCTAAAATGTATTTTTAAAGCACTTTAAAGATGTTTTTTTTCCAAAAGGCAAGCGCTAATTCTAATCTTGGAAATGCAACATTGACAACTTGAAGAACTTTAAACCATCACACAATAAATGAGAATTGTCATGAAAGGGGAAGTCAAGTCAAAAAGGTTCTTGATTTTTTTTCTATACGCCTCCGCCTAGTCTTGACACAATATTCTGATTAATATTCTGTTTGTAGAATCACAAATGAAATCAATTACCTTGCCTTGTTGTAGTTTATTTTTTTTTTGAAATATAAAAAGGAGAATCTTTTTTGAAGTGGCATCGTTTAGACCAAAAACGTATTCAAATATTTTTTTTAAGAGAAAAGTTTCTTTTTGTTTGATTTTTTTTTTCTTTTAACATACATTGTCTTTTTGAATTTTTTTTTTAATGTAGATTTGGATCTTTTTTTAAGTGGCATCGTTTAGACCAAAAACGTATTCAAACATTTTTTTAAGAGAAAAGTTTATTTTTGTGTGATTTTTTCTTTTTAACATACATTGTCTTTTTGAGTTTTTTTTTTTTTTTAATGTAGATTTTTTTTTTACCAACATTTTGCTTTAAGAAAAGTTCTGTTTTCCAAGATTTTTTTTTTGAAGAAAAAATGTTTCATTTTGAGGCCAAACTTTGAGGAAAAAGTTCTATAATCTTTGAGGGATTTTCTTTTCAAACCAAAAGTAAAATGCAGTACATAACTTGTACAAAGGATGTTAATAACAACAATAAAGTGGTAATATTACAACCATGGATATATATGATGAGGATTGCAAAGAATGTTAGACTTCACTATTACTTTCCCATCAAATGTTTTGTTATTCTATGTTCTCCAAATGTTTGAATAGTTGTCTTTGGGCCCTGCGTTTGATTGGCAACCAGTCCAGGGTGTCCCCTGCTTCATTTGCAAAAAGTGTGCGAGTTTGTCGCATCAATGCCGTCATCATTATATTTAGTCCAGTCAAGTCAAGTCCGCTTTATTGTCAAATATGCTCTATGTGCAACATACAGCACAGATGAAATTTCTTTACCCTCAACCACAGTGCAAACGTGCAGTGCATTGAAACACACACAGCAAAAAAATTAAAGGTATAAGGCCCGTTTCGGAGAAAATGTTAGAAGAGGCAGAAAGTTACTTTGTCACCTTGAAATGAGGAGGTAGAACATTCCCAGAGACATGAGGGAGATCCCCACGTGGAAGGAAACGCCCACAGCTCCGTATTCCTTGAAGACCTTTTTGAGTTGCTGGGTCTTGTTCGGCTTATTTTCCTCCGGCTCGGGTTCCCCGGGGGCTTTCTCTCCAGGTAGAGGAGTTTGTGGGGCTTCCTTTCGATTGTGTTCGTCCTGGACAGGATGAAATGAAACACAATGATACAGTAGAAAGTACGATGCAAACACAATTTGTTTAGTGCTGCCGGTTTACGTCAAAGTTGTTGTCATTTCAAAATGATTTCACCATAAAAATGTACGTTGTGATTGCATATTATTGAAATTAATAGGGTTTTAAAACTGAACATTGAAAAATCTAACATTTTTAGACACTGTCCCTTTGAGCTTATATGCAATACATTGTAACAGAATCATTACTTTAAGTTGTTTTGTTTGTTTTTGGGGGGAGTGATCCCATATATTAGTGGTGGTAATGTTCAAACTGTTCATAATGATTTTTTTTTTTTTTTTAAAGCGTCATAGAAAAGTAAGATACTACTGTTCTGTTTAGCAAGATATTCGCAAATTTGGATTTATTTTGTAGACTTGTGACATTTAAGTGTTCGGAAATAACCGATCTTTTTCACCCGATACCGGATGAGCTAAAAAATCAAATGATCGGATCGGCACATCTCTATTATTCTTTTTTTTTTGCCAATGTCGAGGCTTTATTCCAGCTTACTGGTGTAACAGTGAAGTGTGCTGAGAGCAGCACACCCCAAAATGACCTCAAAGCTGCAAAAACAGATAATTCTGTGGACTCATCACAACTGGTGAGCCTCCTCAGCCGCTTGGATGCACAGTTCCCCCATTCATTCGTTGATATGATACCATATTAGGCTTCAAGTGAACAGTAGGGTGGATGATGTCATTGGTCAGAAAATGTATGATTTATTGTGCAGCTTTATGCAAGCAAATCAAATATAAATACGGTACGCTCATTCATAACATGCAGGGGAGAAAGAAAATGGGATCAGTCAAGAAAAGGACTATTGAGTGAAATAAGAATTCATTTTTCAAATAAGTATGTGAGGAAACAGGAAAGTTAAAAAAGGCGAAGATTTTATGAGCCAGGAAATCCAGACTCAATGCTCTAAGATTTTATGGTGAAGTTTATTTAAAAGAAAGATTTGTTTAATTCCCATAATTTAAAAAAAAAGGAAGGAAAAGTGTATTTTCCTCAGAGAGTATCTTCTTTTTTTCTTTTTACAAGAATAAATTGGATACAAAGTCTCTAGCATGCAGGGGGAGATGTAACAAGAGTCAAGAAAATGAATGGGAAGGTCTTGTGTCATTACAGGAAGCGTTTGACGTCACGGATTTGGGGGAAAAAAAAAAACAAAGAAAGCACAAGTAAAAACTCCCTGATAGCAAATAGCATTTGTCATGTATTTTCTTTTCCTTCACTCTAGTTGCTGTAAGCTCGGGTCACAGCAGTCAAAAAAGTTCCAAGGGTCTCCCCCATTGCCCAAAGCACAATGGCAGCCAACAGTCACATGACACTGATTAGGGCGCAGACTTGGGCGGCTTGAAGAGTCCCGTCCTTCGGAAGTGCCGCACGATGAACGGCACAGACACCAGCGTGATGCTGATGCGCACGGGCGCAAATAGTTTGTGAACGGCGTAGGCCAGGACGAACGTGCTGGTCCCCGCCGCCATCTTGGAGCGGATGACGGCCTCGCTGAAGCCCAGCTTGCTTAGCACGGACGCCATGTCGATACCGCTAGAGAGATGAAGGCACACAGCTGATTACAGTTCTGCCACATTTGAACCCTACCATGTTCAAAGACATCAGCCATCTATGTAAGAGGGGAACTCAGGTTATTTTTTTTCGGAAAATGTGGAAATTATTTTCAAAACGTATTTTTAAGTGATTTTTTTTTTCTGTTCTATTGAAAGCAGATGTCACCGACCGGTATTTCAAACGTCAGATGTTGGCATGCATCTAACTTTTTAAAAGTTGTATTTTGTGTATTTTTCAACCACGTGATTTAAACAGATGTATTGTTAAGGGGAAAGGGTGATTTTATATGTTTTTGATCTTCATCAAACCCTCCCCCCACCCCAAAATAAAAATGATGGAGAAAGGTGAATTTTCCCTAGAGAAAAGTTTTCATATACAGTCATTTTTTTCCCCTCTGTATCGATGAAAGCAATTGTAATCATACCTCACACAAAATGTCAATAGGCATCTATCTATGTGATTGTAGGATGCTGCATTGTTGTAAAAGAGGATGTCTTTTCCTTTTTAAGTTTTATTTTCAAACTGGTCGTCACGGTATTCGACTGCTTAGCACGTCCGCCCGCCTCGAGTGCAGAGGTGCAGGGTTCAATTCCGGCTGCGGCCTTCCTGTGCAGAGTTTGCATGTATCTCCTTGTGCAAGCGTGGGTTTTCTCCGGGTACTCCAGTTTCCTTCCACATTCCAAAAACATGCATGGCAGGTTAATGGAGCACTCCAAATTGTCCCTCGGTGTGATTGTGAGAGTGAATGGTCGTTCGTCTATGTGTGCCCTGCGATTGGCTGGCAACCGGTTCAAGGTGTCCCCCACCTACTGCCTGAAGACAGATTGGATAGACTCCAGCACGCCTGCGACCCTTGTGAGGATAAGCGGATTGTAAATGGATGGATGGATGGATATTTACAAACCAGATGTTGCTGTCAATCAAGTTGTTTTCTTTATAGCATAAGGCGCCGATGCATTGAATCCTGTATCAAAAGTGCAGTTGCGGCAATATCCTGTTTCAGTGTGTTGTTAAAGGCAGAGCAGTTCAGTTGTGATCATTTGCGGAATCTCTCCGAGAAACGGGCGAGTGACTGTTAACTGTTATCAAGCTGGCTGCATGGGCCAGCTTTAATCAGCCAAGTACAAGGCAGCAAAGTGTTCAACGTGATAATGCGACATGGTTGCGGGTGACACTGCCTTTTCCTTGGGAGGCTTATTATCAGCTGTGTGAGAAAGGCCGCGGGCTTCCCTGCTAATCTCCTGCAAATCTCTTTGCTATGCTAGCTGTTTGCACGCCGTCAGTCAGTCTACACATGCTGAAAGGCTCGACTGTTTTGTTATTCAATTAAAAGATGTCCGTAGAAAGATTTTAGGTTCTCTGTGTTTCCTCTTGGTTCCAAAACAAAGTTGTTTGATGATATTCTGTCCTGTGTGAGAACTACAGGTTGAGAACATTTTTCCATTTCCCACCGAACTTCATACTTTGTGCTGTCATATGCTGCATTAATAAACTCAGTGCATCCTTGCAGCAAGTAAACTACCCCTAAAATGTATTTTTAAAGCACTTTAAAGATGTTTTTTTTCCAAAAGGCAAGCGCTAATTCTAATCTTGGAAATGCAACATTGACAACTTGAAGAACTTTAAACCATCACACAATAAATGAGAATTGTCATGAAAGGGGAAGTCAAGTCAAAAAGGTTCTTGATTTTTTTTCTATACGCCTCCGCCTAGTCTTGACACAATATTCTGATTAATATTCTGTTTGTAGAATCACAAATGAAATCAAACATGTTGCCTGGTGGTAGTTTATTGTATTTTTTTTTTTTTTGAAATATAAAAAGGAGAATCTTTTTTGAAGTGGCATCGTTTAGACCAAAAACGTATTCAAATATTTTTTTTAAGAGAAAAGTTTCTTTTTGTTTGATTTTTTTTTTCTTTTAACATACATTGTCTTTTTGAATTTTTTTTTTAATGTAGATTTTTTTTTTTTTACCAACATTTTGCTTTAAGAAAAGTTCTGTTTTCCAAGATTTTTTTTGAAGAAAAAAATGTTTCATTTTGAGGCCAAACTTGGAGGAAAAAGTTCTATAATCTTTGAGGGATTTTCTTTTCAAACCAAAAGTAAAATGCAGTACATAACTTGTACAAAGGATGTTAATAACAACAATAAAGTGGTAATATTACAACCATGGATATATATGATGAGGATTGCAAAGAATGTTAGACTTCACTATTACTTTCCCATCAAATGTTTTGTTATTCTATAGTCTCCAAATGTTTGAATAGTTGTCTTTGGGCCCTCCGCTTGATTGGCAACCAGTCCAGGGTGTCCCCTGCTTCATTTGCAAAAAGTGTGCGAGTTTGTCGCATCAATGCCGTCATCATTATATTTAGTCCAGTCAAGTCAAGTCCGCTTTATTGTCAAATATGCTCTATGTGCAACATACAGCACAGATGAAATTTCTTTCCTCTCAACCACAGTGCAAACACGCAGTGCATTGACACACACACAGCAAAAAATGTAAAGGTCTAAGCAGTATCACGATAAGGCACATTTCGGGTGAATAGTTGTCTTTGGGCCCTGCGTTTGATTGGCAACCAGTCCAGGGTGTCCCCTGCTTCATTTGCAAAAAGTCTATTTTGTCGCATCAATGCCATCATCAGTATATTTAGTCAAGTCCGCTTTATTGTCAAATATGCTCGATGTGCAACATACAGCACAGATGAAATTTCTTTACCCTCAACCACAGTGCAAACGTGCAGTGCATTGAAACACACACAGCAAAAAAATTAAAGGTATAAGGCCCGTTTCGGAGAAAATGTTAGAAGAGGCAGAAAGTTACTTTGTCACCTTGAAATGAGGAGGTAGAACATTCCCAGAGACATGAGGGAGATCCCCACGTGGAAGGAAACGCCCACAGCTCCGTATTCCTTGAAGACCTTTTTGAGTTGCTGGGTCTTGTTCGGCTTATTTTCCTCCGGCTCGGGTTCCCCGGGGGCTTTCTCTCCAGGTAGAGGAGTTTGTGGGGCTTCCTTTCGATTGTGTTCGTCCTGGACAGGATGAAATGAAACACAATGATACAGTAGAAAGTACGATGCAAACGCAAGTTTAGTGATGCCTGTTTATTACGTCAAAGTTGTTGTCATTTCAAAATGATTTCACCATAAAAATGTACGTTGTGATTGCATATTATTGAAATTAATAGGGTTTTAAAACTGAACATTGAAAAATCAAACATTTTTAGACACTGTCCCTTTGAGCTTATATGCAATACATTGTAACAGAATCATTACTTTAAGTTGTTTTGTTTGTTTTTGGGGGGAGTGATCCCATATCTTAGTGGTGGTAATGTTCAAACTATTCATAATGATACAGTGGTTATAATATGTACTTTTTAGGAATAACACCTGCCTCGTTTTTGATGATGCAACTGCATTTTAATGTTGGTCCTAATGGTGTTACTTTGAGAGCTAAGTATTTTTTAGGTGGAACTTAGTGTGAAATCCACTGGTATAGTGACAAACCACTATTGAGAAAGCCAGCGTGGGCGAGGCAGCGGGCCTTCTGCTTTTCAGAGAGGCCACTGAGGCCAGACTCAAAGTAAAGGGGGTGCGGGCAGTGACACTAGGTAGGTCAATGTGAGTGGGCAGCCACAGAGGATGTATGGGAGGAAGAACAGTGGGACCTCTGTGACTGACAACAGCTTCTCACAAACACACAAGTTGAGTCAGAGTGACACACATACAGAATCACTCGCACACCTCCACCCTGAGGCCGACAACCTCCTGTCAGTTGCCTAATATTTACTTTTTGCCTTGTTTTGTTCATTGTTCTATAAGTGTTGTTTGTACATGCTGTGTTTTACATTGACCCATGGACACTTTTGGTGCACCAAAGCCACAAACATAAAATGAGAGTAAATACCATAAAAATAGGTGTCAATTACATTCATTCATTCATTCAGTCCTCTTCGTCCCGTCTGAATGATTATTCACACCTGTAATTACATTACAGGTGTTAAAAAAACAACAACAAAAATGTCCTTTCCTCAATACTCCAGATAGCTCAGCAATTTTAATATCACTTAAAACTCTTTTCCAAGCCCTTTCCATTGAATACCTTTTTTAAAATTATTGTTAAACGGAGCATCATATTTTCTTTAGCTATCTAATTTAGGATTTAGACTATTCATATTGGCAATTCTAAACATCTTTTACGGGGTTAATTTGCAAATAAAACGTTTGCGTTGGGGTTAGACCCAAAAACAAGGGTTCACTGTAATCATTCAAAATGTTGCATTTATAAAACATCTAGCATTTTGCAACTGCCTTGTTTTACTTGTTTTAAGTAGTACCTAGAATTGAACGACAAAACAATCGGTACTCCATGTTACGTCATAGTCGTCGCGAACTTCGTGGTATAAATTGGCAGGTGCGACGTGTCGACACCTGCCGGTTGATGAGCATTGCGCATGTGCGGCCCGGAGACGTTTGAATGACGTAGGGCGAAGGTACAGTACTCTCTTTACCACTGTACTTTCCCTTTCTCGGGTGCACCATTTTACGCAGCAGTGTGATGGTTACAATACCTCCGCGTTGTTCGTGTCGTCCATGCCGGTGGTCTTCTTTGGGACAGCCACTACGGTAGAGAGCCCACGGTCACCAATTGAAAACGAAAGCACTGGCTCCTCCAGGCCGCCGCGGCGCTTCAAGTGACCCCAGTTCGGGATGAGAAAACCGTCGTGGTGGTACGGTTCGGGTCGTCGTTCCCCGAAGTGTGCGAGTGTCGAGCCCACGCAACATATCCGGTCTCGGTAAAAGCCCCTCGTTAACGTCAACGGGCTGGAGTGTGAGTGGCGGAGCACACGCGCCGTCGTCCTCGTCGCACGACTCAGAAACATGGCCGTCGTGCCGCCCTCAAAACGAGTTTCGTGGAGTCCAAAGTGTTTACGTTATATGTGCTAAATAACCTGAAGTGAAGGTCCAAACATGCTGACTGTGTCCCCCCACCTCCTTGTCATGACTGGCTGTCCCCCGCACCCGACCAGCAGTTGATCTTGCTGACAGACAGGGCGCGCAACCGCAGACTGTCCTGGAGGAGGCTCCCGTCAAAAGAACAAAGCGTGCTGTGAGACGTATGTAACATGCGTGGTTAGGAAAGGCCTCTAGGGGGCGCCGCTGCATTTCTCATCAAAGAAGGTACATGTACAACTCCATAAGCTGGAAAAAGCGAGTTGCAGACCTCATGCGCGAGAAATTAAAACAAAAGCTACCAAATGAACGAGCGTCATTGAAACGTTGTGTGATAGTACTAAAGTGTAAGCTTACCTGTACACCAGTTTGCAGGTATTACTTCAAAGGCTTTGACCCTTAAGTGGCAAAACAGCAGGTGTACTTTGTGCCATGTTTAACTGCGCTCATGGGACTTATACGTTTAAACGTTGGTAGAAAGAGAGAAAGAACTAGAGGTCCAAGTTCATGCAAGGATGGGGTGTTGAACAGAGGCGTCGCCAGATCCCTTTCACTGGATGGAACACGTGCAAGTGTCAGAAACGGACTTGCCAGTAAAGCTGGAGCGGGGGGAATAAACTAAAATTAAATTGCTGTGTATTGTGAATATGTCGCAGCTGCCACCTGCAGTGTTTACCGACATTTATTAATTTGTGACCTACATGGGATCGATGCTTCCTTTACGGCATATATGTCAAAGTGCCGGCCCGCGGGCCAAATCCGGCCCGCGAGAATGTTTTCAGTGGCCCCTGGGATGATATTGATTTATTATTAGAACCGGCCCGCAGCAAGCCGAGAGCCCGCAGATCTTTTACACGCACCAATACTACATTTCCCACAATGCAACGGTGACGCGCCAAGCAGTCGGCCGCTTTATTTAAATATTTATTAGTCTAGCAGTCGTTCCCATAACAGTGACATTAGCTTTCAGATACCCATCAAAAATGGCAAAACGGAAGGTGGACACTGAGAACCGGGGGTTTCAAACAAGGTGGGAGTCGAAGTACATGTTCATGGACGTAGCTGGAAAACCTGTGTGTCTTCTGTGCGGAGAAAGTGTGGCGCGATTGAAATAGTGTAATCTGAGACGACATCATGAAACGAAACACGTGAACAAAAACAAGAACATGGACATGGAGGGGCAAGGGGGATTTCATTAAAAACGGTATACTAAAAGTTTGTGACGAAGTTTACCCCGAAAAAAAGCAACTCTTTTTAAACGTGAGCATTAGCAGAAACACAATTGCAGTGTTTCTGCAAAGATACGGCAGTGCGTGCTGCGCAGTTTGACGGTTTCCTCCCCGACACAGTGGTCCCGCTGCGCATCCAGGCTGCTCAAACGTTGTCGAAAGTTTGGCAGCACATACGTGTGTGAACAACTATTTTCTTTGATGAAGCTGAACAAAACATCACACAGAAGTCGATTTACTGCTGAACACCCTCACTCAATTTTGAGGATTTGCCCAGCTCAGAGCCTGCCCCCAAATATTGATGAACTTGTAGAAAAATTAAGACACCACCGAGTATCAGCCTCAGCCTCAAAAAAGTGAATATTACCTATAATATACTGTGCAATCACATATTAAGAGTTTTTACTCAGTTCAAGTTTTTTTCTTGAAGAAAGTGTTGTTTTTGGTTTATACATTTTTGCACTTTATTTTATTGTATTTCAATACAATTATTTTTTAAAAATATTGTATTCGAGTAAATGATCGAAAATTACTGCACTATTATTTGGTTTTCTTTTAAGTAAATTTAGCCTACTTTTGCTAAAAGAGAAAATATGGACTAGTGATAGTGCCTTGAATAATATCGGCTTTTTTCATTCATGTTATGGGTATTTTTATACAAAGGAAATTTTTTTGTGCCTGTTGAAAATTAAAGTTTACTGACGTAGCCATAAAAAAATGTTGCTTTATTTATCTGACCATATTGGAATGTATTTGTTAGGTTTTCAGTCAATTAAATTTGGTTCAATAAACAATATGTGGTCATTTTTAAAATTTTCAATGAACATTCGATCAGTCCGGCCCTCGGCTTGCAGCAAAATTTTTTATCTGGCCCTCCGTCCATTTGACTTTGACACCCCTGCTTTACGGGATGGTCTAAAACGCTTAACGTGCGTGAAAAAAAAGCTCAACATGTCTTAATGTCAGAAAACCATGACCAATCACCATTAAAGTTTATGTGCACAACACCGCCTACCTAAAATCTCAAATATTGGTGTGATTGTTTTGATGTTTAAAGACATGAATGTAGGCATGGGTGGCAGTACACATTAACGATTGGTCATACTTTTCTGACATGAAGCAACATCAAGCTTATTTACGTTTTAGACCCTCTTCCTTTTCCCTTACCCAGCATGTCGTGTGTCGAGCAGCACTGGCAGGGTGGGCCCCACTTCCAACAGATGATTTAAATTGGTCTATATCAATTTGACTAAAAACGGGTGAATTTTTCTGCTTAATCAGTGTTCCACAAACACAATATTATTCAAAATACAGCGTGTAGGCCTATAGCGGGGGTATATAGAGCATATTGGAAAGAGCATTTTTGACTTGAATTCCCCTTCAACATAACGTGGATGTTTTTGTAGTATGTCATGTGATATGCACCTCCAAACAGCCTCCATTCCGAACCCTCAAATCCAGATCATCCAACCATGAAGCAGACCTCCTAAAGAAATGCACCACCGTGCATTGACTTTGTTTATCTGAAGATGAGAGATGATCACCAAGGCGCCGAAATAACTGGGACATCTTAAAAAGAGTGAAACTCTGTTTCCCAGAAACACATTCTCCTCCATTTGGTCACACTTCATACTTGGTTATTCCAGCAGGATGTTCAATAGCGACACTGAAAGTCCCCTACCCACCTCCCTCAGGGCATCCAATAGAATGCCATTCAGATGTAATTTGGATTTGTGAGAGCCTTCTTCTTCTCATCCAGTCGTCCATTCGGTGGTCAGGCCTGCAAACAACTCCTTGCACGAAACGCTTTGGCGTCGACTTGGCTTTGCTCTCCCACTGACGCTTATCCATGTTGGCCTTCAGTGAGGCGTAGGATGAGGCCCTCCGAAGGCCCGGGACTGCGGCCAGCTGGCCTTGCACTACAGCAGCAAGGTCACGCCATGCAGAGGATGTGCTCCGCGTAGTGTGTTTGCACATGCTTTTGTTTCCGTGCCTATTAACCTCAACTTTGCCTGGCACGCGTTCCAGAAGGAATTTGTCAACATTGACTCCGCAAACATCACTTAGTTATGTCCAACCTGATGTCCTTATTTGAGCAGTGACTGAGTTTGTCCTTCTAGTTTGCTTTACATCTTCCCGAGAAAGTCTTTTCTCACGGAGGAGACATTTTGTGCTCGCTATAACGTGAGACGAGTGTACCTATGGCAACCAAACCAAAGGCCAGAAAATATTGGATTTAAGGCATAAGCCACCGTGCCAGAATCAGGTGTAATAGGCAGTATGCTAATCCATTGATCCAACCGGATCAAATACTGGTAGTTGCTGTCAAATGTCACAGTTACTCAAACAATTTTGACTTGATATGTTGTGAATGTGGCATCATAGTGTACAAATGGTTAGCATATATGTACCGTGTATATATATATATATATATAAATGTTTTGTTTTTTCAAGTCAATTGAAGTTTGTCTTAAGTCTTCAATTCCCTTGCCAAAAAAACAGTGGATTGTTGTCGTCAACTACTGTATGTGAAATTTTTCAAACACTTGAGATCGAGTACATCCAGTCAGACGAGACCACCGTGAGCAATTCTCAAAATATACAATTTATTCAAAATATGTGAATGCAACCCTCAGTATGGTCTAGTTTTTACAACATCATCAGTAGTTTTTCATTTGTATCCTTTTGTCCATTTTTGGACACTTCGTCGATCATCACGCATGAAACTACTGTATATTTTTTGAAGGAATTGGACAACTTACTCCACCGCAGCAGCTTGACGCTTAGTTGACATGTAATAAAATAAAAACAGGCATTTCAGGACCAAAAAAAAATGTACACAGTGGTGGAATACATTTAAACACTGACACCTGAGTATACTTGGCAGGCAGATGATGCACATAAAGCAGGATTACCCAAGTGGATTGTTAAGTATTTTCTTACGTTACTTTCCATTAAGACACCGATAACCACACAGACAAATGCAGTTCGTGGGAATAGACGAAATTAGTATTTACAAATTAATCTGTACAACTCATTGACACTGTACAAGCGAGCGCGGGGGAAATGTGGATTTAAAGGAACAGATTACACCTAAAGTAGATGTATTTTTGAAAGGAAGACTCTTTGGCACTGGTGTGGAGATGAGGCAAACATGTAGGGTACTGTTTTTGATACGTGACAAACACTATACGGTAACGATAATGTGGTCATTTGTTAACCTGTAAATCAAGCAAATTTACTCACATGGCCATCGCTAATTGAAACAAAGTCGGTTGAGTAGGAAGGACGTTGGGTCGCCCAAATTCCACAATGCCAGGGCAAGGGTGTGAAGTCAAACACCCGACACTCCCTTCTGCCATCCTGTGTGTGTCGAAAGCAATCGCGGCTGTCCGACAAGTATTTCATAAGTCATCTAGGCGGGATTTACACTGCAGAGCCAAGTGCCCGGTTCTGTACAGTATCTGATCTTGTTGACTGTCTTTTATTTCAATGTTTAGGTGACACATTTCCTATTTCACTCTGTTTATACTGATAGGACGCATGCGATATCCATGTGCGAGAAATGAGATTCTGACTCTGATGTGGCAGTTATGTATTTGTAGGGATCATTCGATGATTAAAGCTGTCGCTTTCGTATGAAGAAAAAAGGTGCTTTGCTGACTCTTCTCTTTATCGTAACTCGCTCTCCACACACCATCCACAACAATAAATACACTTCAATGTAGGAACACATAAATCATGTCATAAATAAAGAAATGTACAGTTAACAGTTTTCACTCTCACGTTACCTCAAAGCAGATCATTACAAATATAATTTGGGGGCAGATATACGATATATAAACGGACGGTGGCTTGTCCAAGTACAAAATAACACTTATGGCATTCCTTCCCTTTACGCCGTTCAAAGCACTATTTTTGCTTCTTCTGATATGTTGAAATCCATGAAAAATGTCGGACACCATGACTTTTCCTTCATGTTAAAAAAAAAAGAAAAAAACTTGGGTGACCTATCTAAAAGTTCACTCATGTACAGTGCAACCTCCAAAGTCAAACACAACCCCAAATAAATAGTGGTACAGTTTGGAATTCAAAGTGAATTTTCTTGGCAAAATGTACAGTGGTGCATTGGGTAATGAATGCGCCAATGTACAAGTTTTCTAATCCGAGGCTTTGTTTTAGTGAGCATCTCAAGGACCAACTCCAACCAGTGTGTTTTATTTTTTGGCTTTTTGGGAGGTGGCGGCTGATAACGTTGCTGACAGGAAAGGGTGTGGCTTCACAGGATGGCAGGTCAGATTGGGTGGGAAAAACTGCATTTTGCGTTCATGTCCCGTTGGTTGACCTGCTGGTTTTATTCCACAGACACAGAGAATTTTGCAAACATAGACCAAGAGAACCTCTTTTGTATTTGTCAAGTTCCATAGGGGAGCTCTTGTAGTTTGAAATGCCAACGTCAGGCGGATGCCGATGACAGCACATTATACAGCTGTTCGTTTTCGGAGTCCATCCATTCATTTTATGTAAGACATCACCTATGCCCTGGGTGAGCTGGAGATTTCTGTCATGTTTCACATGAACGAGTCAATTTGAAAACGTTGCTTCTGCGTACGGTCATGAAACTACCGGTAACGGGCTCCATTTGATTGGTGAAATGGAGTCAAATGTGACTCGCTACGTCGGATTCGTGAAACAGTCATGTGACATAAGTCTCTCTGACAAGCCAAAATAGATTCTAAGATACAATAGAAGGAAGTCAACCACTGTGCCGGAACAGATTGACTTTGTGTGACTTTGAAGGTTCTGCTTATTTTTGTTTAGTCTTTTTCTCGGGGTCCTTCAAACACAAATTTGTCTGAGAAATTTTCTTCAGATTGCTGCCAAATTTGAACTCTTCTTGACACGTGCCTAACACGAAATGGCAATTTTCCATCATTGCATCTGGGCGTAGCATGGTGGTGTATTTTTGCCCAGTAACTCCCAATCATCATGAATTACAAATAAAAGATTCAGACCCTTGAAGCCAGTTTTCACGAGGCAACAAAATTCACCGCATCTGTCATGAGCAGACCCACAAAAACATCAGGAGAAGCAACGCCCAAAAAAGACACAGGAGGTCTGCTTAAGAAAAAAAAAATGGTTTGAAATGTGAACATCTTGGACGTCAACCAGTGTCACGGTACAGATGGACTTTGGAGGCGCCACTTCTACCTCGAATTATCTTCAGCTGTCCAATTTTGTGTTTCTTCCATGTGTCAAAAGGCTCAGTTTGTTAGCCTGCTACACCTGCAGCCTCCCTTCATGGGGAAAGTCCTCATGTTTGAGGGACAATTTCTTTACTTTCCGCCGGCTCCTCTGTGCAAACACTTGCAGTTACTCGACCTCGCATCATGGTGGCGCTATGACACGCAGCAGCAGGTCTGCGACTTGGGCTGCTCTTCGTCGACGGGCTGCCTTAGTCTGAGGAGTGGCGGATCGCCGCTGGCCGGCGTATAGAACACCGCGCTGCCGTTGGACGACACCAATGGCATGCGGGGGTCATCCGACATGGATTTGGCATCGTTGAAAGAGTCCATGGAACCGTTACCCAGGTGACCGTTGAACAGGGGGTGGTTCAACAGCTTGGCCGCCGCCCGCTGCTTCTTCAGCTCCGACAGAGTCTGAGCTCTCTCGCGAGGTAAAGTTTCATCCTGGCCGCACGGGTTGGTAGCGAGCGTGCTGTTGTCCACCGCCGCCATGCCGTTGGAAGGTGGCTGGGGGTGTGTGCTTGTGGTTGTAGAGATGAGGCCATTGTGCTTACTGCTGCCATCTTTGAGGATGGTAGGCAGCTTGGTCTGGTCGGATGGATCGGTTGCTTCCACGGGCTTTACCTGGACATTGAGCAGAGAGTAAATCAAATACATTGTAAATTCGGCCTCTGAAGCCAGTTTGGTTTCGCAACATGAATTCTCATCCTTTATCTCTCGTGTTGTCCTTGGGGACAGACAAGTACCTGCTGGCACTATGTTTGTTTGTTTTTTTAGGACAATGCACATTATTCACCGTAGTGTAAAGGCGTCCATGCTAGAGCTAGTACAGTGGCTAAATCTCTCTGATCTCCCTTCCTCCTCTGTGGGGGTTGTGTGTAACTGCTCACCACCCCCCTCTCTGCTCGGCCGACAATGATGACAAAAAAATGTCCGGCCTCTCGTCATTAACTTCAAAGAAGCGGCTTGCTTAGTTTGACACAATCTTCATCTCTGCAAATAGCCAATCACATTGCTTAAAAGACCCCTCAAAAAAAGAAAAGCTCATTACCGGTGACAGACTGTTTTAGCGATTATTGCAACTTTGACTTCTCAAAAGCGTGGAAAGCAGTCAAACCGGTCATGGCAACACTCCTCCATCTCACCCTTCACAAGATGATTGTCATCTGCTGGTTTTAACTGTTGATCAACTCCAAACTTGTAAGGAGAAATGTGGTTGGTTGAACTGAGATTTACACGCAACACAAGCATGGCAAGGTCACGTGACTGCTCATCCTCATTCCCATATCAATATCTTGAATGTTGATATCTTGATTTCGATACGATAAAGATATGGATCGCCCAGTCCTAGTGTGAATTGCGGTGAAGCCCTAAACAACATTATTATTGTTTGTAAGCAGAGGCGCTTGTGTTTGTGCAACAAGGCCAAAAGCACTGTGGCTGAACTGAGGTTACCTGAACGAGATTACAATCAGCACATTGAGAGAGCGAGAGAACATTAGAAGCTGCAGAAAATCGAATGTGCAGCTCATTAACGTCCTCCCTGCCACTTATAATAGACTGTGACAAGCACTCCCCCCCCCACCCCCCAAATGTGCATTGTCCTCCTTAGACTGGAGATAAGACATCTGGCTCTGTTGCCAATCAGAAAGATTCTTTTTGACAGATGCTAATTATGAGATGACTCACATGCAGCACCTGGATGATCTCCTGGTCGGGATCTTTCTCTTTATCCTCATTTTCCTCCTCCCTGCCTCCCCTCCACACGATGGCCTCCGTCTCATACTCCTTGCGGCAAAGGTTGTGTCTGTCGGACAAACTGGCTCGCCTCACCACCTTCCTGCAAATGAGGAAACCTTGGTGAGAGCGAGTAATGATGCACTGCCAGTTTATTTGTACGCAGACGCCACGACTTAACAGAAGATACGCCGTTTGCCATGTTTTTACCCCGGGCGGCACTGTGGCGTAGTGCTGTGGCTTCCTCAAACATCACAGAAATATGCGAGTTAGGTTAATGGAAGACACCGAATTTGTCAATAGCTGGGAATGTGAGGGCAAATACCCGCTCATTTGTTTTTTTTTTATATGTGCCCTGAAATTCAAAATCAGGAAACTGAAATGATGGCGGGTGCCACAAGTTTTCATCAGCACGACTACTCAGGGTTGGGAGTGGATGTACATCGGAAAACATACTTCTGAATCAGTTGTGTAACAAAAATGTCACCTTAAATATGAACAAGATTATACTGTAAGCATATGTTTGTCCCAAGGGGTCATGCAGAGCGTGAGCAGCCCGTGGGCTACCGATTACGCATCCCTGCTCGAACTTGTCCATAGATTTGGATATGAATGTGTGAATGGTTGTCTATATTTGCCCTAAGACTGACCGGTGACAGTCCAGGGTAGACCCCGCTTACTTTGCCAAAAGTTGGCTGGGAAAGGCTCAATGACACCCGTGTCCCGAATGGGGACAAGCTGTGCAGGATTCTATCCATGGCATGGATGTTCCTGGTGATTAACTGACAGAGACATTACAAGAAAATAATCAACAGTTGTGATTGTTTGTCTACATGTGCCCAGCGACCAGCAGATGACAAGTCATTCGCTGGTGACCAGCATCAGGTGTACTTGTGGTGAAAGATGTTTCCCTCAGCAAAAGTCAGCTGGGGAAAAAGCTGTTGAAAAAAAACGCATGGGCATTTTTTCCCACCCTAGGGATAACCATGTTTAGCGACTTCTACATGTTGAAAATTGCATACCTTTTACCAAGGTGAAATATGTAGTAGTCGTAGGAGTAACAGCAGCGGCCAGCAGGTGTCAGCACTCACCCACGACTTCCAGCGCTGGATGTCCGTCTGCACAGCGAGGTCTTGTGTTTGAGCTGCGACTTCATAATGATGTCATGCTTGTGCTTCAGGTCCAGCAGAATGGCTCTGAACTCCTCATCCTCACACAAGTCTGAAAATGGAGGATGGAGGAAAATATTAGCACGATACGATAGCGACGCATTTTTTTTGGCGAGGTGCGAGTATACCGATGGGGGTCTCATCGAGAAAGGTTTTGGCATTGAGACTAGCTCCGTGAGACACCAGCAGCTCAGCCACATGCATCTGAAAGAGCAAAAGCGGTGTTTCACCTCGACAGTAAGGAAAGTCTCTGAGCCAGTCGGCTTTTCCGCCGGCGTCGTCTCACCTGACCCCAGCATGCGGCTGCGTGGAGCGGCTGCCATCCGTCCGAGTCTCTCAAGTCCATGCGAGCGCCGCCCTCCAGCAGCAGTTCGGAGGCCTGCATGTAGCCGTTAGCCGCCGCGATATGCAGCTGCAAAGAGCAAAAGGATAATACGTATTCAATTACCCTGCCTTAAAGCAGAACATTTCCATACGTCCCCTTTTGTTCAAGTTGCATTTGTTTTCATTTGCTGAGTTCCATTTCACCTCGTCCAACCCCCCCTAACTTTATTGTCTCTCTCTGTAGATCAGACAGACTACTCAGGAAGGAAAGTCTTCCAGTGACACACAAAAAAAGCATTTCTCTTGAAAACAAAAGATTAGCCTGACATAACTTCCAACAATTTCCGCATGCACTCTTCTCTGGGCTGTCGCCAAAAGATTCTGGCACGATCTGTTTTGTTTCATTGCACTGGATAAAGATTAAGCAAAGGATGCACAATGCAGGAGGGATAAATCTTTCAGATTAACAAGGAGGACTACGACCATCTCATGGAGGTTTCTAAAGCTGATACATAAATAGGGTGACCTGACCTGACATCCTCTCTTCACCAGATGTACACTACAAAAGAACTAAAAAGTGTCCAAATCATTTGTAACATGATTTCATTCTTTAAAAAAAATTGTACATAAACATTCAATATGACTTTTTCCACAGCAAACATGTGAATAATGGGAGGAAAAAAAAACATAAGCCCCACCACCAAAAAAAAAAAAAAAATTGGGGGGAAAAAAAAAAGAATATGCGAATTTGCGGGTGCCAAACTGCTGCATATGTCGATTGATTTATTTATATATTTTTGAAGTAAGTTGAGTGCTTAAGAAGTTTTTTTGACATAATATTGTTTCATGAAACATGAAATTCAGACAGATTTGTCTGCATTGTTCGACCGGTAATCGGACTCATGACTTACTGACTTGTTTTTGCCACATTTTTTGGGGTTGATTTTTGTGAAGATGATTTAGTGAACACTAAAAAGACTGCCAAGTCAAAGTCAACAACTAACTGATGTAGATAAACAATCATTCATTTGAATTCATGGTTCATTTACCTTTCTTTTAGTTTAAGCCTAACCTACAAAACGAAAACATTTGTGTATGATGAATCTGATATTGTTTATTGTAATACAGATGACCGTATTTTCCACACTATAAGGCACTTCGGAATATAAGGTGCACCTTCAATGAATGGCCTATTTTAAAACTGTTTTCATATGTAGGGTGCACAGCATTATAAGGCGCATAGCTACAATAGTGGCTGAGCTTGCGTTATGCATCCACTAGATGGAGCTACGTTAAACGGAATGCAATACAATCAGCTTGTTTATATATATATATGTGTGTGTATATATATATATATATATATATATATATATATATATATATATAATGTGTGTGTGTGTGTAATCTTTCACAATGGTTGCAGTTGGAACACAGCGCTTTACAGAATATTATAAATACTACATCCAAGAAATCAGAATATTGATCCATATATATGGCGCATCGAATTATAAGGCGCACTGTTGGCTTTTGAGAAAATTGTTGCTTGTTGGTTAAGCAATAGAGCATGTTGGCAAAAATCACATATTTAATCACAACCATGATCAGAAAAACGCCGGAATTAGATTCTTTTTCAAAATCATTCAACCCTGGATAGAGGAGTAAATCAAAATGCAAGCTTGGTCACGGAGCTGTTTAAACTGTTAATTCAAGGTAGCACCATACGCCTTTATGAAAACGTACCAGTGTGGCTCCCTGTGAGTCCTGATGATTGACTTCGTCGCCAAGCCTCACCAGTTCCTGAATATCTCCCAGCATCCTCCTCTCTGTGGACGCCCGGGTCTCGTTGATCATCTCCTGGGTGATGCCTGCCAATCGAACACGCACGGACAAACGCTGCTAATTGCCCTACTATTGACTTTGTCTTCAAAGCGTTCGTCTGTAAGCGCGGCGCGTTAGCGGTTTGACAAGAGCCTTTTCACACTTGATGTCGTCAGGGATTTGACAAAAGGTCTGTGAGAAATAAGGAATATTGGGCCGACTCCACCTTTAACCAAATTGAATTCCAATCCACTGTCTTGACAGCAACAACTTAAAATGGAGACGGCCACGCGACAGCGCTTCCCTTCTTAAGAATCCCTCATAATAAAAAATGGATCAATATCGACACCATTCGCCAAAAGTGGCGAGCTGTCACATCTTCCACATCTGGATGATGTACAGTAGAATTCTGGGAAATGGAAAAATAAGATGTGGAGATAAGGCAAAAGCAGTTGTGGCGCAACCAGGGTGGTCCACGAATAAAGATTCTCCTTCATAATAAATTCGAAATCAGCATTAATGAATGTGGAACGACCATTTTTGCAGGTGGTTTTAAAATAAAATCTGAGATTTCACAAAAATCCAATTTATGATTTGAATTCATTTATTTTTTCCCCCTTTGCCAACACAAAAAGTCAATGACGATCAAAACAACTTCTTGTTAGATTAAAATTATAAATTGCCGACACTGATTGTGCTTTTGTAAATATAATGATTTCAATCGCACAGCGATCCGATGTGAAAGACAAAACTTAAAATATTAGGTACAAAAAAATGTTTCACTCCAAATGTATTTTTAGCAGGAATTTTGTATTTCTTACCCCAGTTAGGCATGAAGTGACTCCGCTTGCCTAACAGCAGCAAGCTAACACTGTGTTAAAGCCTCCTCGTTTTTTTTCTCTCTTTACGTGATAAACGCCTTGCTTTAGAGTCACTTTTACGTTAATCTCATTAAAATGGAGACTTGATAGTGGTAAATTATTTATTTCAACTGATTTGATGATTATACTACATTCTCGATGTATGCTTGTCCTTGTTTGATCAGGACAAAGGCAACAACATCAGTTTAATAAATTCCATGTCCTAAATGATGGCCAAATCCTCTCATTTCCTATTTGCAGGTGCTGAATTGGGTTAATCTAATACTATTTGACTCATTTTCGTACCACTGCAATGAACTGATGTCCTCAAATAAGCGTCTTCTATCAACTGCAGTGTTTTTTTTAAAAATTAAGACAGAGGGGAGCCATTCTCCCTGTCGGTACGTCGTCTCTGGAGGTCTTGCCACTTTTGGCAACTAGCAATTAGCATTGAAGCGCTCCGCTGTTTGATGCTCTTATTGCCATTCTTCTCACCTGCTGCCGCGCTATCTGTATGCCGCAAAAGAGTCCGACTGAGAAGCTCCTTTGTGTTCCTCAGTACGGTATTTGGTGTCACATGTTCAACTAATCCCATAGTAGTTTTCCTTTGACAGAGCTTGGAGACTAAAAATCTTTCTTGCTCACCCGAGGGAATGTCAACATCAGCAAGTTGAGTTGGCGATAGAGGACGTGGCTAGCTTACTTAGCTCTAAAATGTGTTTGTTATTGCTGCCAACCAAAATTCTCCATTCATGCATGCATTTTCTAATCGTTTTTTTTTTTTTAAAGGGAGATAGTACACCTCTGTTGGCCATGGCCGTCTCAATGATGTCCAGTGTTGGGTCGTCTTCACAAAGGTCGTACGGCATGTTCCCGTCAGAGTTGACCGCCAGCAGATCGGCACCACTGTGGGAGAAAATGACCGTCCAAATCATTCATGAAGAACGGTGACACCATGTCGAGCTGTGGGCATTGTTCATGTCATCTCACTGTGCAATGAGTATCTTGACGAGGCCCGCATGTCCACAGGTCGCGGCAGCATGAAGCGGCGTCCACAGCTCATTATCCTGAGCGTTGACGCCGGCTCCACGGTCCAGCAGGATCTTTACCATCTCCTCGTAGTTGTCTATGCAGCACTGTGTGGACAAGCGGCACGAGGGGGGGTTAAAAAAAAAAGTGCCTTTTAAAATGACGACATTCGATCTAGGTGACGAGTTTACATTGAGATGAGGCACACTGCCCGTCTGTCCTCATCTGTTTTTTTTCAGGGTTACTTCCCGTTGTGCAGTCACTGCTGAGTTGCTGTATGTTTATCTGCGCTCTGGATGGATGCATTGTTTGTTCCTATATTCGTACCAGTACTAGTACCGGTTATCAGGCAAGGATCAACAGAGAGGAACGGGCCTCCCCCCAAACTGTTCCTCCATTGTTGAATCATCTCTTGATATAAATCCACATATACGTGGAAGGATGGGTTCATTGAACTATGGATGCAGTGATGAATGATGGTTGCAGCAATGGATGGATGGGTGGGTCGATAGCTCGGTGGGTGAATGGAATGATGGAGGGATGCGCAGCTATGTTGGATGGAATGATGGACAGGTGCGTAGATGGTTGGAGCGATGGTCGTGTCGGTAGAAGGGTAGCTGCTCAACAGAACGATGAGCAATGGATGGATGGATTGCTGAATGGAACAATGGATGGGAGGCTCGAATAATGGATTGACGGATGGGTGGATCGAAATGTGGGATGGATGATGGATGGAGGAATGGGTGCTTGGTTTGGATGGACGCAAAGGATGGTTGACTGTGGCGATGGATGACAGCAACAGTGAGAGGAGCAATTGGTGACGGATGGACTGCAAGATGGTTGAAAGAATGATGGATAGAATGTGGACGTAGGGAGAAAACAACAGGTTGATGGAGTGATTGACAGGTGGAGTGATTGATAATGATGATGGAACAATGAGTGAATTAGATGGATAGATAGATGCGTGGGGGGAATTATTGACTGGATGGATCAAACAAAGCATTGATGGATGGATTGATGGTGAATGAAAGATTGGAACAAAAGACAATTGATGGACAAGTCACAGGAATGACGTGTGCATGGATAGCTAAGACGCCATCAAAGTCAGTGAGTGCAGACAACGCTGTCAAAGCCATCATTGCGCACGCATCAATCCAATGCTTGAGTGACTTTTTGTCTTGTTAAGTGTGGCTGTGATGACAACTCTGGAATGCGTGTTCTCACTGAAAAATGGAGCAGGAGTCGTCTCCAACGGAGCTAATTCATATTTGGCGCAACTCAAATGAGCAACGCCTCACTCCCGTTAGCCATCTCTTGCAGCAGTGAGCTTTTTGCAGATTGATGAAAGTTTTTATTGCGCAACATCTGTCCATCCAGCTCCCATGACGCCAGTAATGCTACACTCCATCGATGGTATATTAAAGCAGATATGCCATCAAAGTTAAGTGTTGCTCCCGGAAAACAGATGCCCGTTTCTCACGTTTGTTTTAGGGAGCCACCAAAAAGAGAGAGGACCAGTTTTTCCTCTCAGGGTTTTTCCATTGACACCATCAAGCATGTTGTGACGTGCAAACTCATAAACGCACAATACAGAGTCAATTATGCATACCAGAGAGTAATAATTCAAAAGGTCCATGGCATGCTAGGTCGCATCATGTCAACCAGCGGTCCCCAGTCACCCCCCCCCACCCCCATACGCAATTCATCCGATCAGGAATATCCAAAAGCACGCCACGTTTGGCATCGAAACTAAAGTTCAGAACATTCAGAGAGACTTCCATCTAATTTTGGCGCCCCCTAGAGTCCATGGTGCCCTCAGCATTTTCCTATCACACCTAATGGGTAAGCCAGCCCTGCTTTTCATAACCTGTAAAAATACCAACTACAGTAAACAGCTCTTTGTGGGAGATACAGCTGAAAAGGGAAGGGGGAACTCCCCACTAAAAATGTTCGCAATTGCCTATATTCATAAAAACTTTAAAATAAACTACAAAAACAGTTGGAGAGAAAAAAAAATCATGAATAGCTGCACAATTTGCGATTCACAAATCCGTCACGATTCACTGCTTCATCGTTCGTAACACAAACCGGAAAATGAGTTGTTTGTAACATATGGAGTTTTGTAGCCTCAGCTAACAAGGCTGTGCAGATACTGTAAACATGTGTGCGTGCGTGCGTGCGTGTGTGTGTGTGTGTGTGTGTGCGCAAAAAAAAAAAAATCATTAAAAAAAAAGATCATTAGAAAGAGACATGAGAGGAAATGAAATTACTGCACAAAGCAAATCACATATTGCAAGAAGGACAGATAAGAGGCCCACAAAACAAAAATAACAATCGACTGGAGACGGGAGTTACACAAACAGAATATTATAAATGATTGTTGTGGTCAGCATGCAAACGACAATGCGAAAAAATTGCAGTCCATTTTTAAAAGCCGATTCATACATAACAATACAATACAATAAATCCTGATTTATATAGCGTTTTCACAACAGCTGCAGCTGTCGAGCCCCAGTCATGAATTTGTAGCAATCAGTGTTTTTTCTAATAAAGGAGACAATAATTAATTACATTTCTTTCACATGTATTGTACTGTATGGGAAATTAACATTTGAGCCACAAATGATTATTAGGACCACACTGAAAGAAATATCACACGAGAATAAAGTCATACAACAAGCGCAGTGATTAAAGAAAAAGGTGACAATGTTAGAGAGAAAACAAGAGTAGTCACTAGTTATACATTATTTTGATTGATTTAAAATGGTAACAATAAATTATTGGAATATTTTGATGTGTTCTTACGGTTTAAAAAAAGGAACTGGAAACAAAAAACAAAACATTAGGAGAGGAAATGTGAATTTTATTATTATTTTATAGAAATACAGGCCTAATTTTAAGTGGGACCATTATTTTAAAAAAATCAAATAAAAAATAGAATTTTACAAGATCTTTATATTATTTCGAGACTCCACTAGCTTGTTTTGACATTCCCCCATTAATACTGTATTATAACTTCGTGGTCCTACATAGTGCAACGTTTACCATTGACATTTCATACTCTGAATGATCTGAATCCCACATTGTGTATTCATAATTCATATAGACGTGCGTGTTTTTTTTTTTTTTTTTTTTTTGCTCTTTAGCTCCCAGATAAACACAAATGTAGAATTAGCAGTGCGGAGGCTGTAGTGAGTGTCATGGACAGTACTTCCTCTATCAGTGAAAATAAAAGCCTGATCAAACTGAGATGTGCCTCGCAGAAACGACACAGCGACGACCCTCCGTTTTATAAAAAGACGGCGCGTGGATTATCTCACATCTCCAGCTTCCAGCAGCCCGTGGCAGTGGCAGATGCCTTAAATGCAAACCTACACACTAATTTACAGCCAAGATAATCTGCTTAGCCTCCTGAATAAACCCACGTACGGTGCATCACCCACCTGCTAGCCGGCTGCTAAGCTAATCTTTTGCTCCACATTTGACTCCTCTAAGGCCCTGGCCCTTCATGCCACTCCAAGAGCACCCCTGTGTACTTTTAATAAAATCCTCTGCAACGGTTTTGTGTGTGTGTGTGTGTGTGTGTGTGTGTGTGTGTGTGTGTGTGTGTGTGTGTGTGTGTGTGTGTGTGTGTGTGTGTGTGGGTGGGCTGTGACAAATGGCCTAGTTTAAGCATGGAAAACCGTCTGGCTGAGATTCTTCAGTGAGGTTAAGAGAAGTATGGTTGCATCGGTCCAGTGAGCGAAGCTGCAATTAAAAAATGGAAGCGGGAGAAGTTTGAGCCGAAACACAGCTGCAGTGAGTGAGGAAAGGAACAAAAAAGTCAGAGGGGACAGTCGGTTGTGATTTGTGGACCGTGTGAACCACTGTTGCGTGTTCTTCTTCTCACATTACGACACACCTGCGAGAATGAACTGAATGACAAATGGTGTGGGTGCAAGGGTAGGCTGGCGGTGTAGTTTGTGATCTATCTGGTGATTGTACTGAGTCGGAATTCAGCCTTTTAAAAGGGCACTCGTTGAAATTCAAAGGTACTGGCAACCAGTCCAGGTTGTATTCCATTTTCTCTTGTCAAAAGACAGTTGCTCAAGTTCACCATGACCTGAATGAAGCGGGAGAGAAAATGGATGGATAGATCGATGATGAAATATTTATTTTATTGTAATGTGTGTCCAGGTTGTATCATTATTCTTTTGTCAAAAGTTAGCTGGGATAGGCTCTAATTACTCTGACCCGAAAGAGGACAAGTGATATACAAAATAGATGACAGTTTTTTGGGTTTTTTTTTTTTGGGGTGGCGGGTGTCGCGGTTGCACCACACTTCTCAGTGAATGTCAGCTACGATAGGCTCCATTTTTTGACAACTTTAACGAGGAGTGCTGTAGAATAACAAACGCATCCATGGATGGATAACACTGCTCAACAAAACTTTTTTTATTCAGAAATGCAAAAATACATTTCTATAGATGTTGTTTTTGCTGATTCCAAATCTGCCCTTGTATTTTATCTATAGCACATCAGATTTTTATCATAATAATAAGGTGAAGAAGAAGAAGAAATATCATCATCATCATCATTTACTTTACTCTAGTAATATATATTTAGTTCAGTAACTGGTGGAATTATTTTCCAAAACGCCAAAGCTACAAATTACAACAGAGGGTAAAGTTGTGCAAGCTCGCATCGGTCAAACAAAGAAAAACTGAAAATATCAGCAAAAAAACCTGATGTGCTTGGAAAAAAAATGGTTTATAAATCAGCATCAATAATATGTTTAGGGACACACAAAGCCATGTACGATTAAAATTTGCTGTTGACCATTCTAAGTAAATGATTGTTTTTTGCTTTATTTTTTTATTGATTAATTTTTTTAAAAGTTACAAATGTTTTGGTTGTACTTGTACCTGCTTCACTCACGTGAATGTGAGTGTGAATGTTTGTTGTCCGTATGTGTCTCTTGGGTAATGACCAGTCTAGGGCGTATCTCGTTTCTCGCCAAAGTCATGCGATAGACTCCAATTCACCTGAGACTCTAATGATGACAAGCAATATAGAAAATAAAAGGATGGATGATTGGCTTGGAGATGGGCAGAGGTAGTTTAGCGGTTCACGTAGCGTACTTTGGTGCAGTAAATTGAGGTTGACTGTCACACCAAATCAAGACGATGTTTCAGCCGTCCTCAGACTCGTAAGGCTAATGCTAAAAACAGGAGTCTCAAATGACCATCCGGTTATCAAATGTGATTCTCTGGCCCTAAAATTCAATAAGCGCAATATAAAAGCTGCTGAATAAACTACAGAGGCACACCAAAATGTCATCTCCAAAGCTCCTCGTGGTTAAATAAAAATCATTGATGATCATTAAAGCGCCCATCTTAAATCCTCGCTGCACTCCTCATACATATTTAAGCGGCGAAATCATTGAAGTAAATGTTAGTTAATGACACTCCAGCAGGCATCTCAGTGTGTGTTTCACAACACCATCAATTTTTCTGTGCTGCTTTTTCTTTTCATCCCAGCATATGTAGAGTGGGAAAAAAAAGTCACAGGCAGTGAGTGGGTATGAAATTCCATGCCACCTGCATGAAAACCAGGTTTGTGAACCACTACACTATGAATGGGTGTAGTTCACTGTTCGGAAACTTAGAGCGATGCTCATATTTGGCGTTTGGCTATTCAGAGTTTACCAAAACAGCACTGGACACTCGGCGCACCAACTGGGGACACGTTGCACCAGTCCTGGCTGCATTCAGAAACTAATGAGAGTGGCGTGCACACTACCTCTCCGAACACACCCACTCACAGAGTAGTGCAAGGACGTCAGAGTGAATTTCTGAACGTGCTTAGGTTAGAGTTAGATCGCCTGCAGTCTATCTCAGCAATGGACTGGCTTGTCATTTAAAAAAAATCCCTCCAAAATCTCCCAGTCTCACTGGAGGGGAAAGTAGAGGACGCTGGGAAAATTAGCCAGGTCCAACTCCTGAATGAGCATCAGCTGCAGCTCGTAAGTAGCAAGGCTTCAAAATGGTGTGCGAACAAGCATTCCTCACTAAGAACGGGGAAAACAGTGAGGTGATGTGGGCGTGCAATTTATTTATTTATTTTTTTTGTCACACTGAGCAGTGTGCATGGAAGGTTATAAGGCATAATCAATTACCGCATTTGGACGGTAGGGTCCAAATCTCTGCCTTCAGGCAAATTTATAGCTTCTATTGAATACGTTTTTACCGTATGTATGTTATGTGTGATACTTTTTTTTTAAATAATAAAAACAGAGACCCTCTCAAGTAAGTAAAGTCATGAAAATCTTTTTTTTTTTTTTTTTCAATCAGAATATCAGTCATTCCATTAATCATTGCAGGCCTAAGGGATACATCATTAAAAAAAAAAAAGCTCAATACTAGCTTTTTTTTCTTGTTTCTTTTTTTTTACTAGCAACACAGTGACCCTTCACCGGAAATTTTAGGGGCTCAAGTAGAAAATTTAGAGGTGCACGAATGAATCACAAATCAACTTGCACGGTCAATATTCACATCTCAGCTATTTCGAATTTAACAATCGGTGTCAATGGAGCTATTGTCAAAGGGGAGCTAGCAGGTTAATGGTTATGGTGTTGGAAGGGGAATACATCAAGGCATGTCAGCGGAATGTCAGTACTATAACGTGTGTGTGTGTGTGTGTGTGTGTGTGTGTGTGTGTGTGTGTGTGTGTGTGTGTGTTTGTGTGTGTGTGGCCATTGAAGCCATATATTGATGTAGCACTTATATCAGTGAGGTAAGAGTATTGCTGAAATGGATGTGACATCCCATTTACGCGAGATCACCGCCACTTCATTCTGACGGGTATGTCTGTAGTCATCTGTGTATGTGCGCTTATCTTATCTCTGACGCCGTCTCATCATATTGGGTTGTCAAAACAAAAAGCTCACACGTTTTTATATTCTGCTTCTGTTGTGACTGTGTTTCTGATTGGGTCCTTACTTTGTCACTTTGATTTTCTCAGTATTTAAGGTGGAGTTGCTGAGTGACGCATTGTCAGAATGTCTTTTATGCCCTCTGCAGCCAGCCCTGCTCTCTGCAGTTACTTGGTATTTTTGTGTATAAAGACTCGATGGTTTTCCACTCTGTGGTTTATTTGCCTCGGGCTCCAAAATTCTGCTTCTCACGTGCCATCTACAGGCACAATTTCCATATGTCCAGTTCGATACAAGCTCTCATGTCCTGCCCAGTGTGTGTGTGTGTGTGTGTGTGTGTGTGTGTGTGTGTGTGTGTGTGTGTGTGTGTGTGTGTGCCTTTGTGAAATCATTCTAAGTGTGTAAGTTCAATCACACCCAAAGTGAACGGGTCTAGTATTGAAGAAAAATGCACAGACTGATCGATCCCAATAGAAAATGATGGTGTCCACATGTGTGCGGAGACACACATGCTCACATATGCACGCACATTTATTTAACACCAAAAGGTCAATGTGATTTTTTTTTTTTTCCTCAGTTCATGGAAAACAAAACACCCAAGCACGCCGGAGGTGACTGATAGTCTTTCACAGTTTGTCTCGCTACCTTTCAGTGGGCACAGGAGTATCTACAGCGTCTTAGAAGAAAAATGTGTGCTCGATGAGGCAAAAAAAAAAAAAAATAGCGGCTGGAAGGTCTGAGTGGATATAAAGCAAAACAAAAAAAAAAAACGTAATGACTTTTTTTGTTTTTCCAAAATGTGTTATGATACTTTCAATCCATCACTTTTGTTTTTATTCAAATAAATTTACACGATGGTGTTTCCATGCTCTCAGGCTCTAACTAAAATGACGAATCAACCATCTTTCAAGTCGCAAGCATAGAAGCTCGGGAATTTGGAGAATTAGTCATGTTGTTCTGTCCCAACCCAGCATGATTCGCAATTCTTGCTCAAAGAAACATTTTCAGAAAAAGGCAAAAAAAAAAAAAAGATACTCGTCGACCTGACAAACCATTAAAAAGTCAATTTTCCATGAGTTCAGAACACATTCCCATCCATCTATCCATTTTCCAAACTGCTTATCTTCAAATAATAGTTTTGGTATAAAGCTCATTTTTACATCTTTAAACTAAAGTTGGAAACAGCCGCTCATTCTAAAGCACTGCTCTCTTCTGCTTTTCATGTTCTTTTTCAGTGAAGATGAGCTTATTGGTATTCTTGGGCACGAAAGGCGGCCGCGATCCCCCATCCGCCCCTGCACATGGTTTCACATCTTTGCCTTCAAGCTTTCTGCTGCCCTGTTTGAATCTGCATGAAAAGGCTGCCTCTGCACTGTCGTGCCGCCCGCCGATGTCTCCGTAAGTGACTCGTTGCGTTGTAAGTACTGCAGTGTGAGTCTGCCACATGCTGTTCACTGTTGCACTCAGGACAACTCAACTCAAGAACATGGTGTTTTTTTTGTTTTTTTTTTTTGTTTTTTCCGTGTGCCTCTCTGGGGAGTGGGGGAAAGGGAGTCCATTAAACCGTGCTGTCAAACCTTTTGTTGCCGCTGCCCGAATGGCATCCTTACATCAAGTCGATCGAAATTATCACACTTAAGGACAATTAGTTGCAGATGACTGTAAACAGAACTAGGTTGATTTGTGATTAAACGAGCCGATACATTGGCAGGGCAATCTGAATGTATATTAGCCACATATTAGCACCAGTAATGGCTCCATTAACAAGTGAAAACAGCTGCACGCCTTTCAATTTCCTTTTCCAACACGACTGACTGGAGTGAACTCATTTCCTCAACATGAAATAACATTTTCCGTATGATCAACATGGAGTGGTGGGCAAAATATGGCCTGCGGGCCACATATGGCCCGCTCTGTCCTTTTTGACATGATGGAGCTAGTCTTGTAATATTTGTGGTATTAATGTAAATGAATTGTATTTTTATTTAAGTATCTTTCAAAAATGGATTAGGGTTGATTAGTGGCAGCGCGGTGGTCGACTGGTTAGGGCGCCAGCCTCACAGTGCAGAGGTGCAGAGTTCGATTCTGGCTCCGGCCTTCCTGTGTGGAGTTCGCATCTTCTCTAGGTGCCTGCATGGGTTTTTGTCCGGGTACTCCGCTCTCCTCCCACATTCCAAAAACATGCCTGTCAGGTTCATTCATTCATTCATTTTCCGAACCGCTTTCGTCTGTCATGTTAATGGAACAAATTGCCCCTAGGTGTGAGGGTGAGCGTAGATGGTTGGTCGTTTGTGTGCCCTGCGATTGGCTGGCAAACAGTTCAGGGTGTCCCCCCGCCTACTGCCTGAAGACATCTGAGATCGGCTCCAGCATGCCCCGCAACCCTTGTGAGGAAAAGGCGGATTGGAAAATGGATGGATGGATGGATGGATGGATAATGTAAAAAAATAAATAATATAATAAGTGCTTATGTAGAGGCAAAAAAACCTCATCTCAGAGTTAATTAAGGTTTTATGATGACAATTTCGCCTGGAGCAATTGAATTCAATTTAAATGCCTAGCTCTGGCAATTAACTCTGAAATTAGAGCAATTTGGACAGATCGAAACAGATTCGACTTTGGTGTTGCATGCAAAAACAGAAAAACAGGATGCACGATGATGACGTGGGGTATTACAGAGATGAGCAATGATGGCCAGAAAACATTGGCAACAAAAAAACTGTCTTCAGCGGTAATAGGAAAGTGTTCGACATGCTGTTACAAGGACTCGGAGAGCCTTTTAGCATCGAGGAGCACTTCGGGCCACACAAATGAGCCTTGCTGTAACCATTGTTCATAAGACAGCTTGGGTCTCACCTGATGAAGTGCGGTGAGGCCGTCTTCGTTGCAGAGGTCTGGGCTCACATTGTTCTTTAGCAGGTAGCGCACTGGTGGAAAACAGAGAGAGGAAATGATTAATGAGAGCCGACGGCCCGGAAATATTGCTATTAAGGTACATCTTTTGATTGGCTTGAATCAATGTCCACACCTCTGCAAATTCAAGCTTTGTCCTCATACACTAATAAAATATATGATGGTTCATGTTCCTGATCGATTTTGTTTATTTTGGCCGAAAGTATGCAAATGTGTATGGAGAAATAGTGGCTCTGTGCTCCCGAAATGAGCCACTACTTCCCAGTTTGCCGTATTATGCATGGGCATACAAATACGGTGCATAAATGCTGCGTTGCTGCCAATACTATGATAGACGATACACAAAGAACATAAGGGGGTTAGTCACAAAAGTGCATAATATGCTTCTATGCCACCAATACAACTTCAGTATACACAACTTGTAGCAAACACAGTGCATGAGGTACTTTATCACAAGAGTGCACTGCTAGTTTGCATGTGAGGATGCAAGATCATGAGAAGAAACGTAACTATGTGAAAAGAACCGTCCTTCTCCTTTTGTCCCCCGATGTTACTGCCAATCGCTCCTCATTCTATTAGTTGCTCACACTTGTGGGAAGTTCAATTTGTCATATTAAAAGTCCTGCCAGGATGTTACTGAATTGACCTTGGGAAATATGGAAGGCATCGCCAGTGAGGGTGGGGCTATTTGTTTGGGGGGCCCCGGGGGGGAAGGGGGTGACGTAACGACAAGCAGGATTATAGTGTCTGCCGGCCTGGTGGCCAAATCAGATAAACCCTCCACTAATACACACACACAGAAAATAAATCAGCAATGTGAACTTTGGTAAACCTCGGAACAGGAAGTGATGGTTAGTGACATTCTGTTACTGCCATCTGTCTATATTTCACACACAAAAAAACAGGACAAAGAATGGTAGATGAGAGAGATTTGAGGTTATAATCACTGTTTGTCATGTCGGCATTCAATCGTGATCTCATGCACTGGTTTGTCCACACAAAGCAGCTCATTCTTGCAAATGTGTTTTCTGACAAAAATGAGTTGGACTCATCGGGATTTGTCTTGTCGTGCGCATGACGTTTATTGGTGAGACAGTTAGCAGCCATTGTTCATGGCTGACAAGAGTAAATAGTGAAACCTGTAGCCCCGCCTCCTTTCACAAATTAGCCAATCACAGTGATCGTAACCACCGCTTGATCATAACAGTGCATGATAATCGTGCCTTGCCTCGAAAGCGATGGCAAGAAATAAAAACAAAAGAAATAAAAACGATGCACAGCTGGTACCAAATAAAGGAGATGCAAGATTTTGACCTCCAAAACCTGGCTAATTGTCCTGCCGCGTGAACCGGGTTTTAGTTGTGCAGCCAGCAGTGTTACCAGCACTGCACATAACAGTAACAAGGGGCATGTCTTGGCTGGTCTGCTATTACATAGCACTTAAATTGGTGATCAATAGTTACCACGGCAACAAAAGATGAGTATTCTCCAAATTTCGAGTTAGCGAACTATCAACACGAATTTCAAACATTCAGGACATGTAGCTACTTTATATTCAGATGTGATGTATTGTTCTAGAATCTGTATTCTTGAGCTTTTAGGTGCTTTCACGTACATTCATAAAGGAGGAATATCGCAGAGAATGTTCTCGGGGATATAAGTGACTTTGGCTTTATGCTCAGTGTAAAAATAAATGACTTTGCCTGAGGATGCATTTACTTGAAGAGGAGCTGGCATCTTTTTGCTGCAAGTGTTCGAGTCTTTTTAGAACAGCTCATAAAAAAATAAATTAAAAAAAAAAAAAACGACCATTACTTTTTAGTACAATATCTTCCCACAGTCATACTCCAATATTACATTCATTTGAGATTGTTCAGCTTCACGTTTCCACTGGGACTCTGTGGGCCCGACTACAAAGCGGAGTCTAACCCTGCACATAGTTGGAATTTTCATTGGTTTGGTATTTTGCTAGATTTTGCACAGGCAGAATTAGACTTAGCTAGGTGCACGCAACTTTTGTGTGCCGTTGTGCAATGGAAGTAGTCCATTCTCGGCCAGTTTGGTGGCATCCCTCATTTGCATCAAAATCAGAGTGGTTTGAGCACAGTGCACCCGAGTAGGCCGTGCTTGCCATTCTGGAAACAGAAGTAGACTCAAAGAAGGTCCATGCATGACATTGACAGGTGAACTGCAAGATCTCTCCTCACGGATGATGTAATGGGCTGCGCATGTGACGTGCGCATTTTGAGACCGCCTGGCACCCCCGATCGTGCATCCGTATGTTTGGGAAAGAGTGATGTGGGTGCTATTTTTAAGATGATAATGATTATAATCCGTTCAGTCAATTGATTTCTACAATGATATAGAGGCATTATCCCGTCCGGGGTGGGAGTCACATTTGTGGATGAGATCCGATGACATCAACCACACACTTTGTGTAACCAAATTTGTAGATGCGTTGCGGAAGGAACGGCCAGCGTTTTTACGCCGAGCGAAAACTACTTTATCAAATTGTCAGATGAATCGGGGGCGAGGCAACACTGTGCGCTGAAATGCCCAGAGAGGCACATCACGGCCCCAAACAGAAAACACATAGATGAGTCTTACAGCAGCACGAAAATGAAGCAACACCCATGTTTCCGCACACAGGCACCAGTCTACCAAACGAAGGTCCTGTGTGTGTAATGTCATGGAAGTACTCCGATATGTTCTGCTTGGTAGTCAGCTGCATTGCAATGTGATATAATCTATCTATCATGTCAAAGTGTGCCATAAATATGGCCAAGGACAAGGTTATCTGTCACTTCCACACACATACACACGCTGATCTGTATTCATTGAAAAGAGGTGGGAGCCTCCGTTCAAAACATCACAACAGCAACAAACGGAGGCTCTCAATTATCAGTAGGAATCAAGACGGAACATTCAGGTCACAGTAGCTAACAAAGGTGAGGGGGACAAAATCATTGTGGTGAGAGAGGAAATAATACAGAATGCTACTTAGAAAGCTTTGTTACTGATTTGAAATGCTAACAAAATCGTGACAATGTCATAATCGAAGAAAATTCCTGTGCAGAACTTAATATAAAATATCCTGAATGCGCCATGTTGCCTGCAAAGCAGTGATTCTGCCACCCCAACCCAAATGGTGCCTTAAGCTCTTTAATTGACACTCAGTTGGAGTTTACTGTAAAACAAAACGCGCAACAAAAAGAATTCTACACATTGTATATTTAAATACAAAACATGCTTCGGGTTGAAAACATGGCTTGTGCTAATGCTAAAGTTAAAGTAATATCATCGATGGCAGTGATATTCCCTCAAATAAATATTCACACACAACCGTTGTGGAAACACAAACAGAGGTAAGAAAACACAACTCAAAGGCAGAATTTCTTAACAATCTGCGAAACAATTTCATGAATACAATTCAATCGCAACAAGCATGTACTCCATCCATGGACAGCTCCATACTGGCCCTAAGAGGCCAAAACATGCAGGAATGGATTATGGATGGATGGATGTTTTTTCAGTTGCTATTGTTGCTGGATACTATTATTGACCTTTTTCCACAGTTATTTTCTCCTTGTCATATTTAAAATTGAGTTTTCAAGTATTCAAGGAATTTTGCCTGAATCAAAATTCAAGACTCCGAGATGTGACGGGGCATGATATGCTGCCATGCCGCCACTGCAACAATGCACACCTGAGATCTTGCTTTTTCTTTGTCTCCAAGTGTGCAGTTATTTGTATCCAAGAAAAGTCCGATTTCCATCAAAATGTCCCTTATATAAAATAGAGTATCTGAAGTAAGAGTGACTTGGCTCCATCAGTCTGTGCCACTTTCCCTTGAGAATGGGCAAACACACACGCACACGTGCACACACACACACACACACACACACACACACACACACACACATCTTTAAAAAGCAATCCTTTAGATGGAAGGGTCACCATGGCGATTATCTGCCATTGCAAGCAATCAGCGCACACATCTCGCGCATGACTTCCTGGGCGGGCTCAGTGAATTCCAAGCGGCAGGGGAGCTGGACAAGATGCTTCCCAAAAGATAAAAAAGATATGTCAACAAACAAGGGCACAGGAAAAGGAGTGCACCCTTCCTTCCTGTTATCTCGACGGGGGCATGCTGTCAATAGTGCTAATGTTAGCGATAGGCCCCGTCCCAAGTGGACCGAGAGATAATTCAAAGGCAATAATGCGGGCGCCACTGCCGACCCCCGAGTCATAACACTTATTAAAACGCTTCATCGCCACTTTCAGGGGATATAAAGAATCTCCACGCTTGTTGTTAAAATGCCAGGTTTTGGTGGTCTTAATAAAATAATAAGACCAAGATAAATCATTGCAAAACTTTTTCTACTGTGAATGTGACCCATTATCTCGACAACTCAAATAAAAAAAATACATGTTTTTGAGAAGTAAACACAAAAAAGTAAGAAGTAAACACATAAAAAGTAAGGCGATGTGGTTGCACAAGTGTGCACACCCTCTTATAACTGGGATGTGTTGACTGTTCAGCATGAACCAATTACTTTCAAACGGAGAGTCAGCATACAACTGCCACCATTTCAAGTGGATTAGACCCAAATAAAGTCAAGATGGCTTTTGTCAGGTATGTCATCTCACAAATCTGTCTTGATGACCAAATAAACAGATGTGGCAACCAAAAAAAAAAGAAGTAGTCCAATCAGTGTTTTTTTCCAGCGACAGAAGCGGAGCCACAAACGTACAAAATAAACGTTTAAACATTTTTCAGTCACAGCACATTTGACTGTCCTCTTTTTCGACATGTGACAGGTAAGGATGTCACATTACAATTCATGCAGGTTTTATGATAATATTAACCTGGGACCCATGCTTTCTGTTTTTGTTATTTCCGATTGAAAATTCAAACTGTTGATCTTTATTGGCTTATGATGAAATCTCATCTAATTTTCTCTTGAGGGCCATCCCTTTTCCAAGCAGTGTCTTTGGCGTGCAATTTGAGGTG